TTTAGTTTTGATGCAAAAACGCATGATCGCACCGGCTCGCCTGGTGCGTTCCAGCCTTTGTTAGAAGTAGCCTAGTTGATCAGTGAGAAATTTTTCCGCCAAAAATTTTAAGTGCTCGTACGTAAGAACTGCGCATACCTCAAGGCTGAATTTGAAATACTTAAGCTGTAGTTGGGCAGAGAATATTCCCCTAAAATTTCAGCTTTCCAGCTTTTCCGGTTTCCGAATTAGCAATTTTCCCGCCATAATCTTCATATGCCCGTACGTGGGTGCTCTACTTTCCTAGGAAGCTAAATTTGAAATTTACAAATTGCACGTGGACAGGGAACATCATTCTAAAATTTCAGCCTTCCAGCTCGTCTGGTTGCCTAGTTAGTAATTTTTCTGCAGAAACCTTCATAAGCCTTTACGTGAGTACCACACATAGCTTAGGGTTGAGTTTGAAATATTTGATTTGTACTTGGATGGGGAACATTCCCCCGAAATTTCAGCTTTCTAGCTTTCCTCATACCTGAATTATCAATTTTCCTCCTAGAAATTTTGATAAGCCCTTGCGTGAGTACCACGCATACCTGGGGAATGAATTTGAAATTTTTAGCTAGCTCATGCACACGGAATTTCCCTACAAAGTTTCAGCCCCTTAGATAGTGCGGTTTCCGAGATCGTTTTCCCGCCAAAAAATTTGCATATTTTTTAACGCGCCCGTACGCGGTACCCAGGCGTCCGAGGGGATGAAATTAAAACGGGAGGGTCGCGCACGGTATGGGCACATATCTCCAAAGTTCTTTGGCGGGAAAGCGATTCCGGAAACCAGCAAGGTAAGGGGTTGGAACTTTGCACGGACACTTCCTGTGCATGTGTGGGCTAAAGATTTTAAATTCAGCCTCCAGGTATGCGTGGTACTTAAATTAGGGCCTATGAAAGTTTTAGCGGGAAAATTGCTAGCTCAAGAAGCAGAAAAACTAGAAAACTGGAATTTTGTGGATGTGTTCCCTGTCCAAGTACAATTTAAATATTTCATATCCTGCCTTCAGGCATGTGTGGTTCTCACGTACGAGTAAACTGGAATTTTGTGGATGTGTTTCCTGTCCAAGTACAACTTAAATATTTCATATCCTGCCTTCAGGCATGTGTGGTTCTCAAGTACGAGCACGAGTTAGCCATTTTCCCGCTAAAACTGAAAGATTTGAAGGGAAAATTGCTAATTTGATAATCAGAAAAGCTGGAAGGCTAAAATTTCAGGGGATTTTCGCTGTCCACGTGCCATTTACAGATTTCGAACCCAGCTTCTTAAGTAGCTGAGGTACTCGCGTACGAGTATGTGGCAGTTTTGGCGGGAAATTACTAATTCGGGAAACAAAAAAGCTAGAAAGCTGAAATTTGAGGGGAACGTCCTCTGTCCAAATGCAGCTTATATATTTCAAATTCAGCCTTCAGGTGTACATGATTCTCACGTTTGGACACTTAAAAGTTTTGGCGGGAAAATTGCTCGCTGAACAGCTAAGTTACTTTCGAAGGACGACCGTTAAATGAAAATTGTTCATTTACTTTATGCAAAATTTGTGGTGATTTACGTTAGTGAGGGCAAAAGGTAGGTGTAAAGCAGCGACCGTTCATGCAGTTAACCCAGGCTGGAACGCACCAGGCGAGCCGGTGTGATCATATGTTTTTGCACCAGACTTGAAATAATTAGATTAACTGCATGAGTGGTTGTTTCTTTACACCTACCTTGTGCTCTCAA